AAGGTGATTTATGAAGTTATGAAATATATCATGTACTGTATGTGTTTGTTGAACATGAAAGGCAGTGTTTTCACCTGATATCATTACAGTAAGAAGTGGGTTCTTAAAAACTAAATTAAAGCAGAGATTAATGCTAATCATTGTTTTGCTTTTGGAAGAAACACTACACTAGCCTTTTCAAGTGTTTGTTGTAACTTGTCAAATGAGCTGAGAAAATATCCAACATTTTGGGACAACACTGGTGGTTTTCCCATGAAACGATGTCTGAGAAACGAGCTCAGAAATTCCATACTGGTGACATGTCACTATCCAGCTAAACATTAGCGGGTTGCTAATGCTGTTCTAGTTAACATTTGTATTGATGTTATTCTACGCCATCATTTCTTGTTAGGAGGGTGTTGCCCCTGAAGAGGTGGTCAAGTTTGGAGCTGAGTATATGGAGTTAGATAGTTGGGTTCGTCGGAGGCAGTACACTGCACTTAAAGATGCTCTTGGTACGGGGGTAACCCTTCACTTACAGGTAAAGGAATCTTCTTACCTTTCATAATCTCTTTGCTGACTCTCCTGTCAAGTGTAGCTATTGACAATAATTCTCTATACTTTGCCGCCCCTAATTCAAGGGCTTGATAAAAAGAGGGTGTAACCATGCGAGTGAAAATGATCTACACAAGTCTTGATATTATTGCTACTCTTTTTGCCAGGAAAATGACCTGCTTCGTGACATCTTTGACTTAGGGCCTCAGCTTAAACCCACAGATGTCCATAAAACATCTCGCTATCAAAGGGTAAGCCTTGATATTTGGTAATAATATGATGTGGAAGTTGTGATATTTGGGTTATCATGTGATGCAAAAGTCCTTATGTTTGGCTCATGATATAATGAGAAAGGATAAACTATAGTATTGTCTCAGTCATGTGTATGATTGGTTTTTCTGCAAAAAAGAGTTAAGGGTCTGTTACATGTTTAAGTATACCGACAGTAGAACAGTCAAACATTCAAACACAAATAGAGTACCGAAGTGTGACGTCATAAAAAATGAAATTTGTGAAATTATGGGATTTGTTAAGCTATTCTGAAAGAACAACGTCCAAGACGCCTACTCGCCAAAAATTAGCAATTTGGGGCAGATTGTCTCACTTCTGACCGGTCTAAATGTTAAAAATAACACGATAATAACGTAAATGTACTAGCCAGCTGTACTAGCGTGCTTGCCCTCTTGAAATGTAATGGTGTGAAAAATGTATTTTTTTTGCTGTTCACTAATTTACACGTCGGATCAAAATGACTGGTAAGCCGAAAAGTTTTTTCGGACAAATGGTCATCTCAGCGAGAAATATTTTGTTGACTGTCTGTTATTTTGAGCTCTGCCATTCAAATGAAACCCTTTGGCATAAATTTTACACAGTACTATTTATTTCTTAAAATTTAAGCTATTCGCCCCTGGAGATTTTGCCGAAAAACATGTTTTAAAGCTAGTTGAGCAGTTTTCTGGTCACTGTGGTGCTATTAAGAGCTAAAACTTACCACAAAGTAGGTAAAAAAAATTACTGCATTTAGTAGGCTTCATTTTGGTGGGAAAGGTTTTAAGGAAAGCTTTGAGGATCTTAAGATGAGATGAAAGGAAAGGTAGGTGGGTAGTGGAACAAGATTTTCATGGAAATTTTCAGGTCAATGTTACATGGTTTCTTGCCTTTTTCTCTGGTGTCCTTAACTGAATTGTGCTCATTCTGGTGTGGTTGGAAAGATCTCTTCACTCTGCACAAGTTAGCAGACAAAGTTGTCCTTGACTGTTAAAACTGATGACATGACAAGCGGTAGAAAGCATGTGGACCTGCATGGGCAGTTACGGGCAGCTCAGGGGCGAATGGGTTAAAAAAAAGAAAAAAATAAATTTTGGAAAATTTTTCTTAGGTATCTGTGTCGAGTTAAAAGGGTTGAAGTATGGTTGACGGAAATGTTGTTAATTTATTATTGTTAAATAATAGGTACCAAAGAGGATCGTGTGTTAGCATCCTCTATTGCAGTGCTTCTGTGTGTTCAGTTTGGAGCTGGGTCAGAAAGTGAAGATGTGTTTAGATCAATGAAGCCTCATTTGATCACTGTCATTCAAGATCAGACAGCTGGATCTGTTGCTAGAGCTAGTGTAAGAAAGACAGTCATATGTTTTAATAAAAATGTGATGGTAAACTTTAAGGCTGGTGAATACAGTTACATGAGAAAGATGTCAGTGACACAGGCGGCTGGGAAGAAACAATTTGAAACACACAGCAATATGAGATAAATTCATTCTTCCCAGAAGCAATTTTTTGATACTTAGATGCTTATTACAAAATTTAATGTCCTCCAGAACAGAAATAATGACAAATTTATTATTTTTCTTTTTCAGTTTTCTTTTTATTGTTATTGTTAATTAAAATGTGTTTTTCTTTGTCATTTTCCTCGCAGCCCTTCCAATTAACAATCATTTTCCTTCAATAAATACCACACTAAAAATAAAAATACTAAAAACAAACCAACCACCATGCTTATTCCAGTAAACTGTGCCATGCACTTTGATACATGAGAGTCAGTAACATTTTCATTTTAGTGTACCTAATATTTTAAGTAAACATTGTTTCCACCATTTCTGATTCATTTGTTGTTTGGTTTACAGTGTGCTACAGCACTGGCCCTGTGCTGCTTTATTGCAAGTGAAGATCATGATGTGAGTTTTGAGTTTCAGAAGGAATCTTAGTACTAATTCATGATCAGATTAGAGTACAATGGAACTTCGATTTAATGAGCCTCTAGATAACGAAGTCCTTGGTATAACGATGAATGATATTCCTAGCCCCAGTAAAAGTAAACGAGAGTAAAAGAACCTCAGCATAAGATTATAACAAAACATCCTTGTAGCGAACATATTTGGTCAGTCTCTTGCCCCTTCTTTATACCGAGACTTCACTGTATAGGGTTGTTAGTTTTTCTGAGACAAAAATGATAGTTTCAGAAATGCCACTTATATTCACTATTGCAGAATTCCTTAAGACCCTACAGCTGCACCAAGTGTGTCTTGTTCAGTCATAATAACCTTGAGAGCATCTTTAATGGGTGCCTTGCTGCTGTCTGCCATGTTTTTGCTGTCCCTTCAAGTGATCCCTAGAGCCTTAACTGTCATAAGTCGTACCAGTTCCCCGCTTGATTAGAAGATGGCCTATATGGTCAGCAATAGCTTGTTGTGATAAATTGGCCAGGGAATCTAAAGGTACATTCCTTTGGGTGATCTGGATCTGGATCAATGGTCCAAGATCACCCGGATCATGGTACATACAGCTATTTCGGGAAAGGTTGTCGGATAAAGTGCACGAGACAAGCCCGAAATGTATTGTGGGTGGCCTTGAGTTCACTATTTTTCAAAGAAATTTGAAACAATGCCAGGAGAGGCCATGGACATATGTCTGCGTGTGCTAAAGGAAAGCAACAAAAGTAAGTTCGACAGCTACAGTGTCAGGAACAGTGTATTGATTATATCCCATATTACCTTTTGGGATTGTCGGGTGCACATTTTTCCGACAACCTTTCTCGAAATAGCTGTATATGAACCAATGAATCCTTTCCCCAGCTCGATTCATCAGTTCTTTTGATGTGCTATGACCTGATTAATCTTGGATCACTGATTCTGATCCCGATAATCCCAAAAGAAAGCACCCAAAGTCAGTTAGAAGTTGAAAAGTATTTTGAATGACTAATTATGTCAGCTGGTAGTATTTTACCTTAAAGGAATTTAAAAATAATTCCTCTACAACATTGCTTTCAGGAACTCTTTGAGTGCTCAGCTGTCCTAGAGGCAATTTTTGACAACAAGAAGACCGTCAAGCCAGATGAAGTTCCACTTTACAGCAGTATTCTGTTGGCCTGGGCTCTTCTCTTGTCTATCACGCCAGAAAATCAAGCTTACCTTCTCATTAACAAGTGAGTAGTAAGAGCATGCATGTAATCATCTTAAGTTTTAACTGGGCTATTCAATTACATATATTTATGTTTATATCCATCATTTTAATAGCCTAAGAAAACAGCAGACATTTGGCGACGCTACCACTGCTTTCCCCGCCAAATGATGTCTGAGAAACAAGCGCAGAAAATCCATACTGATGACACGTCACTACCCAGATCTAGGTAGTGACGCATCATCAGTGTGCAATTTACGCGCTCGTTTCTCAGACGTCATTTGGTGGGGAAACCAGTGGCAGCATTGTCAAATCGCCAAATGTCGGCTGTTTTGTCACGCTTTTATTTTTGTTTTGCAATGATTTTCCTGCAAAATCATGTGTGAGGATTGAGGGTAGAAATTCCATACTGATGACGTTATCACTACCCAGTTCTGGGCAGTGCTTCCGATAGGTTAGCTGCGAGGAAATTTTGCTTTAGCCAATCATAAGCACTACTCAGATTTGGATAGTGACGTGTAATCAGAATGGAATTTCTGAGGGGAAACGAGTGACCCAGTGCCGTCACTAAATGTCTGCTGTTTTCTCAGGCCATGAATTTATTTATTACGATCAGTGATAACATTATTTTAATGCTGATTTTTCCCTCCACAAGGCACTTAAGAAGAATGATGTTTCTTCTTCAAACAAGTGACCTCAGTGTGCGGATTGCTGCGGGAGAACTCTTAGCACTTATGTATGAGATGGGACGCAACGTTCATGAGGACTTTGGTTACAGAGATCGAAATGGCGTTTGTGACCTTATAAGGGAACTTGCCACAGAAGGTAACAAGCACATTGCAAAGAAAGATCTGCGGCAACAGCGGTCAAGCTTTAGAGACATTCTTAAAACTATTGAGGTATGTAATCTTTATTATGCCTTGCCCCCAAAGACTTAACTGTATAGAGCCAAAAATAATATTATGAGTTTATAATTATACCAGATGATGATGGAAAGGTGATTTATGAAGTTATGAAATATATCATGTACTGTATGTGTTTGTTGAACATGAAAGGCAGTGTTTTCACCTGATATCATTACAGTAAGAAGTGGGTTCTTAAAAACTAAATTAAAGCAGAGATTAACGCTGATCATTGTTTTGCTTTTGGAAGAAACACTACACTAGCCCTTTCAAGTGTTTGTTATAACTTGTCAAATGAGCTGAGAAAATATCCAACATTTTGGGACAACACTGGTGGTTTTCCCATGAAATGATGTCTGAAAAACGAGCGCAGAAATTCCATACTGGTGACATGTCAGTACCCAGCTAAACATTAGCGGGTTGCTAATGCTGTTCTAGTTAACATTTGTATTGATGTTGTTCTATGCCATCATTTCTTGTTAGGAAGGTGTTGCCCCTGAAGAGGTGGTCAAGTTTGGAGCTGAGTATATGGAGTTAGATAGTTGGGTTCGTCGGCGGCAGTACACTGCACTTAAAGATGCTCTTGGCACAGGGGTAACCCTTCACTTACAGGTAAAGGAATCTTCTTACCTTTCATAATCTCTTTGCTGACTCTCCTGTCAAGTGTAGCTATTGACAATAGTTCTCTATACTTTGCCACCCCAAATTCAAGGACTTGATGGAAAGAGGGTGTAATCATGCGAGTGAAAATGATCTACATAAGTCTTGATATTATTATTACTCTTTTTGCCAGGAAAATGACCTGCTTCGTGACATCTTTGACTTGGGGCCTCAGCTTAAACCCACAGATGTTCATAAAACATCTCGCTATCAAAGGGTAAGCATTGATATTTGGGTTATCATGTGATGCAAAAGTCCTTATGTTTGGCTCATGATTTAATGAGAAAGGATAAACTATAGTATTGTCTCGGTCATGTGTATGATTTGTTTTTCTGCTAAAAAGAGTTAAGGGTCTGTTAAGTGTTAAAGGTAAAAATTTATTTTATACCTACAGTGGAACAGTCAAACATTCAAACGCAAACTTTATATTCCAGATTATTTCAATCAGTTTAGTCCCCACATGGTGACTTGTGCGCAGTTCAAATGTAAAACTTCTGCTATGTTGATTGTAATCGATTTAAGCTCAGCAGAAGTTTGATGATTCAAATTTTGGATGTTTTTTTTTTCAGTTTTCATATATACGATAATAGAGTGTACATGTCATTTAACTCAGTGGAAATTTGATGTAACTTCATTCTGTCTGCTTTCCTTGTAATGAGGTGTCAAGAGCAGTTAAACATATGACTTTCAACTTAAGACAAAAGTCATATTAAATTTGACTGGACGGAATTCTGACATTTGAACTGGACTTCGGTAACCATATTTAGCTAATGAATTGTTACACTGGATTTTTACAAAATAAACAATTGATTCTTTGCAATGGCTTTATCTACAGCAACTTTACAACAATGCAGTGTCCAAAGCCAGGACGTTGGTTCGCGGAAAGAACAGGGACAAGAGAAATGCTTTTATGTACTGAATATTACATTAATTGATAAAGATTATAACAAAACATCCTTGTAGCGAACATATTTGGTCAGTCTCTTGCCCCTTCTTTATACCGAGACTTCACTGTATAGGGTTGTTAGTTTTTCTGAGACAAAAATGATAGTTTCAGAAATGCCACTTATCTTCACTATTGCAGAATTCCTTAAGACCTACAGCTGCACCAAGTGTGTCTTGTTCAGTCATAATAACCTTGAGAGCATCTTTAATGGGTGCCTTGCTGCTGTCTGCCATGTTTTTGCTGTCCCTTCAAGTGATCCCTAGAGCCTTAACTGTCATATGTCGTACCAGTTCCCCTCTTGATTAGAACATGGCCTATATGGTCAGCAATAGCTTGTGATAAATTGGTCAGGGAATCTAAGGGTACATTCCTTTGGGTGATCTGGATCTGGATCAATGGTCCAAGATCACTCGGATCATGATGCATCATATGAACTGATGAATCCTCTCCCCAGGTCGATTCCTCAGTTCTTTTGATGTGCCATGACCTGGTTAATCTCAGATCACTGCTCCTGATGTGGATCATCCCAAAAGAAAGCACCCAAAGTCAGTTAGAAGTTGAAAAATATTTTGAATGACTAATTATGTCAGCTGGTAGTATTTTACCTTAAGGGAATTTAAAAATAATTCCTCTACAACATTGCTTCCAGGAACTCTTTGAGTGTTCAGCTGTCCTAGAGGCAATTTTTGACAACAAGAAGACCGTCAAGCCAGATGAAGTTCCACTTTACAGCAGTATTCTGTTGGCCTGGGCCCTTCTCTTGTCTGTCACACCAGAAAATCAAGCTTACCTTCTCATTAACAAGTGAGCAGTAAGAGTGTGTAATCATCTTAAGTTTTAACTGGGCTATTCAGTGACGTATATTTCTGTTTATATCCATCATTTTAATGGCCTGAGAAAACAGCAGACATTTGGCGACGCTACCACTGCTTTCCCCGCCAAATGATGTCTGAGAAACAAGTGCAGAAATTCCATACTGGTGATGCGTCACTTCTGAGGTCTGGGTAGTGCTTCTGATTAGTCGTACTGCGTGGGAAATTTGATTCAACCAACCAAAAGCACTACCCAGAACTGGGTAGTGACGCGTCATCAGTATGGAATTTCTGTGCTCGTTTCTCAGACGTCATTTGCAGGGAAACCAGTGGCAGCATTGCCAAATCGCCAAATGTCAGCTGTTTTCTCAAGCTGTTATTTTTGTTTTGCAATGGTTTTCCTGCAAAATCATGTGTGAGGAATGAGGGTAGAAATTCCATACTGATGACGTGGATCACTACCCAGTTCTGGGCAGTGCTTCCAATAGGTAAGCTGCGAGGAAATTTTGCTTCAGCCAATCATAAGCACTACCCAGATTTGGATAGTGACATGTAATCAGTATGGAATTTATGCACTCGTTTATTTATTACGATCAGTGATAACATTATTATAATGCTGATTTTTCCCTCCACAAGGCACTTAAGAAGAATGATGTTTCTTCTTCAAACAAGTGATCTCAGTGTGCGGATTGCTGCGGGAGAACTCTTAGCACTTATGTATGAGATGGGACGCAATGTTCATGAGGACTTTGGTTACAGAGATCGAAATGGCGTTTGTGACCTTATAAGGGAACTTGCCACAGAAGGTAACAAGCACATTGCAAAGAAAGATCTGCGGCAACAGCGGTCAAGCTTTAGAGACATTCTTAAAACTATTGAGGTATGTAATCTTTATTATGCCTTGCCCCCAAAGACTTAACTGTATAGAGCCAAAAATAATATTATGAGTTTATAATTATACCAGATGATGATGGAAAGGTGATTTATGAAGTTATGAAATATATCATGTACTGTATGTGTTTGTTGAACATGAAAGGCAGTGTTTTCACCTGATATCATTACAGTAAGAAGTGGGTTCTTAAAAACTAAATTAAAGCAGAGATTAACGCTGATCATTGTTTTGCTTTTGGAAGAAACACTACACTAGCCCTTTCAAGTGTTTGTTATAACTTGTCAAATGAGCTGAGAAAATATCCAACATTTTGGGACAACACTGGTGGTTTTCCCATGAAATGATGTCTGAAAAACGAGCGCAGAAATTCCATACTGGTGACATGTCAGTACCCAGCTAAACATTAGCGGGTTGCTAATGCTGTTCTAGTTAACATTTGTATTGATGTTGTTCTATGCCATCATTTCTTGTTAGGAAGGTGTTGCCCCTGAAGAGGTGGTCAAGTTTGGAGCTGAGTATATGGAGTTAGATAGTTGGGTTCGTCGGCGGCAGTACACTGCACTTAAAGATGCTCTTGGCACAGGGGTAACCCTTCACTTACAGGTAAAGGAATCTTCTTACCTTTCATAATCTCTTTGCTGACTCTCCTGTCAAGTGTAGCTATTGACAATAGTTCTCTATACTTTGCCACCCCAAATTCAAGGACTTGATGGAAAGAGGGTGTAATCATGCGAGTGAAAATGATCTACATAAGTCTTGATATTATTATTACTCTTTTTGCCAGGAAAATGACCTGCTTCGTGACATCTTTGACTTGGGGCCTCAGCTTAAACCCACAGATGTTCATAAAACATCTCGCTATCAAAGGGTAAGCATTGATATTTGGGTTATCATGTGATGCAAAAGTCCTTATGTTTGGCTCATGATTTAATGAGAAAGGATAAACTATAGTATTGTCTCGGTCATGTGTATGATTTGTTTTTCTGCTAAAAAGAGTTAAGGGTCTGTTAAGTGTTAAAGGTAAAAATTTATTTTATACCTACAGTGGAACAGTCAAACATTCAAACGCAAACTTTATATTCCAGATTATTTCAATCAGTTTAGTCCCCACATGGTGACTTGTGCGCAGTTCAAATGTAAAACTTCTGCTATGTTGATTGTAATCGATTTAAGCTCAGCAGAAGTTTGATGATTCAAATTTTGGATGTTTTTTTTTTCAGTTTTCATATATACGATAATAGAGTGTACATGTCATTTAACTCAGTGGAAATTTGATGTAACTTCATTCTGTCTGCTTTCCTTGTAATGAGGTGTCAAGAGCAGTTAAACATATGACTTTCAACTTAAGACAAAAGTCATATTAAATTTGACTGGACGGAATTCTGACATTTGAACTGGACTTCGGTAACCATATTTAGCTAATGAATTGTTACACTGGATTTTTACAAAATAAACAATTGATTCTTTGCAATGGCTTTATCTACAGCAACTTTACAACAATGCAGTGTCCAAAGCCAGGACGTTGGTTCGCGGAAAGAACAGGGACAAGAGAAATGCTTTTATGTACTGAATATTACATTAATTGATAATAATAAGATAATGGACTGTAAACAGTCCCCTACTTTTTGGTAAGATCATCAGGATTTTATTGAGCACTTTCCTTATGGGTGACCTTTTTTATTTCAACGGTAGTACTCGATCCTGATGATCTTACAGAAAAATAGGGAACTATAAATAGTCTAATAAGATAAATGCAATGGTATGTACCTTGTTCTGTAAATAATTTGTCGGAGGATTTGCACCATTATAACATAAAGAAAGTAGTTTATGTGTGGGTTGGGAGGTGGGGCAGTTGAGTCGTTAAAATAATTTTTCGTGATGGGTAACAAATAGCCTTGTTTTAGTGCCTCCAAAATAAACAGTTTACTTATGTCTACAACATTTTTTCCTAGCTTGGTAAGTTGAATATCAAGGGTGTCTAGCAACAGGTGTATGTCTCTGTAAATGTTTCCCATATGGTGTAATGTAATTAGTTATTTTCAGGGACCAGGTGCTGAATTTTCCTGTGGCTACTCCAATTAGGGCTTTAAATTTCATAGTCCCAAACTTAAATCAATAAAAAAAATTGGTACAAATCCTGCACCTTGCTTGACAGTTGCAAGATAAGCGATGCGTGGCTTTTTTCTTGTGTGCTTTTTCCTGCCTTGAGGCTAGCACTGCTTTTTAAGCCTGTGAATACATCAGTCTCTCCTTGCTCGTCGCCACTAAGGATGTTTTGTTCCTAGTGGTGAGGAGCAAGGAGAGACCGATGTATTCTTTATGAAAAATTTCCACTTTGTTTAGGACATCCTACTTTTCCTTTCTTTTCCCGCAAATTCACTAGTTTTGTTTACTTATTTGCCATATTTTTCATTTTGTCTTACAAAGGAAATTTAATAATTTATTATAATTTATTTTTTTGTGCACTATTTATGTGCAATCTAATGAAAAATGTTATTGCAATGTATAATTTAACGTTACAAGAACCCAGAGTAGCCATTCAAATTTTATTCTTAATGGTATTACAAAATATTTGTGGAAAGCCAGCTGGTCTAGGCCTATATTAGAATACTCTCTAGGTAAAACGAACTGTTATATTGTAAATACTGGAATAAAGATAATCACAGATGTGTTGAACTCTTTAACATTTCTTGTGTCCAGTTTCTTCACCCTCGGCTTGTTACATGTATATGTTGTAGTTAATTTTTTTCTCAGGTAATTTTTGTTTTTATTTTGTTCTTGGGTATGGTAAGGTATGCTAATGAAGTTGAAACAAGAGAAAAATAAAAATTACCTGAGATAAAAAACAACTACAATATATATTTGTGTCGAACGGTGAAATCCCACACGGTTCGCTGACTGGTTAGCCATGTGGTCAAATGAAATTATAACTACAGCCAACTCTCTCAAACACCGTCACCTTCGGACAGAGAGTCAAATATAGGAAGTAAAGAAAGGCAGGGACCAACTCCAGGTGTCTGTCTCGTAGAGGTGTCCTTTACGATAGGGTCGACTGTGCAAAGTGTTCTGAGTCATTTTTTCTTATATGTGGAATTCTACAAGAAAGATTATACCAAATGATTCACTGTCAAAAGGAAAACAAAGGAGGATCGGTTTTTGTTCATTTTTTGACATCACAGGAGCTCAGGCTTCTCAAGTTGCTAGGTTTCTCCATTCTGGCCATCGAAAGCCAAAGACACACTTGTAGTTTAATAAGGTATAATATAAGAATAGTTTTAAATAAAACTGGACCATTATATATTTCAGGGTTTTCTTTAATTCCAAAGTGTTTATAAGGTGTGAACGTTATTTCAAAAAAATCGCGACATAGCCAGTGGCGGATCTAGACCTTCAGATAAGGGTGTGGGGGCGGTCTCCAAAAAAATTTTTTTGGCCCTCCGGGCCCCATTTTGGTCGAAAAATAAGGGGGAGGGGCTGAGCCCCCCGGGCCCCTCCCCTGGATCCGCCAATGATACCCCCTTGAAAGCAAAAGGGAGGGACAAAGATAAACTGCGAGAGAGAGCTGAGTGTGTAGCGTTTGTCTAGGGTCGAGGGTGATGTCGAACCTTGAGGGTTCAAAAACGTCGTTTACAACATTTACTGTTTATATTTTGTATTACTTACTTATTTTTAAAAATATTTTTTTCCCTCGTCCAGGGTTCAGAAAGCCCCAGGGATTTTGGGAGGTTTTGAGTTTTACTCCCATTCGATCATCCTCGTCACTCAAATCCAGAGTACCCCCGCCCCGCTGAGGGTTCGCCATTATGTAAAATTCTAGGAAAGAATCAAGAGTCGAGCTGTCGCTTGCTAAATGTTTCCCATATGGTGTAATGTAATTAGTTATTTTCAGGGACCAGGTGCTGAATTTTCCTGTGGCTACTCCAATTAGGGCTTTAAATTTCATAGTCCCAAACTTAAATCAATAAAAAAAATTGGTACAATTCCTTTACCTTGCTTGACACTTGCAAGATAAGCGATGCGTGGCTTTTTTCTTGTGCGCTTTTTCCTCCCTTGAGGCTAGCACTGCTTTTTAAGCCTGTGAATACATCAGTCTCTCCTTGCTCGTCACCACTAAGGATATTTTGTTCCTAGTGGCGGCGGAGCAAAGAGAGGCGGATGTATTCTCAGGCTACTCACTCCTTTGTTTATGTAAAATTTCCACTTTGTTTAGGACATCCTACTTTTCCTTCCTTTTCCCGCTAATTCACTAGTTTTGTTTACTTATTCGCCATATTTTTCATTTTGTCTTACAAAGGAAATTTAATAATTTATTATAATTTATTTTTTTGTGCACTATTTATGTGCAATCTAATGAAAAATGTTATTGCAAAGTATAATTTAAAGTTACAAGAACCCAGAGTAGCCATTCAAATTTTATTCTTAATGGTATTACAAAATAATTGTGGAAAGCCAGCTGGTCTAGGCCTATATTAGAATACTCCGTAGGTAACACGAACTGTTCTTCTGTGTAGTATATTGTAAATACTGGAATAAAGATAATCACAGATGTGTTGAACTCTTTAACATTTCTTGTGTCCAGTTTCTTCACCCTCGGCTAGTTACATGTATATGTTGTAGTTAATTTTTTTCTCAGGTAATTTTTGTTTTTATTTTGTTCTTGGGTATGGTAAGGTATGCTAATGAAGATGAAACAAAAGAAAAATAAAAGTTACCTGAGGTAAAAAACAACTACAATATATTTGTGCCGAACGGTGAAATCCCACACAGTTCGCTGACTGGTTAGCTGTGTGGTCAAATGAAATTATAACCAGAGCCAACTCTCTCAAACACCGTCACCTTGGGACAGAGAGTCAGGGACCAACTCCGGGTGTCTGTCTAGGAGAGGTGTCCTTTAAGATAGGGTCGACTGTGCAAAGTGTTCTGAATCATTTTTTCTTATATGTGGAATTCTACAGAAAAAAATTATACCAAATGATTCACTGTCAAAAGGAAAACAAAGCAGGATCGGTTTTTGGTCATTTTATGACATCACAGGAGCTCAGGGTTCTCAAGTTGCTAGCTTTCTCCATTCTGGCCATCGAAAGCCAAAGACACACTTGTAGTTTAATAAGGTATAATATAAGAATAGTTTTAAATGAAACTGGACCGTTATATATTTCAGGCTTTTCTTTAATTCCAAAGTGTTTAGAGGGTGTGAACTTTATTTCAAAAAATCGCCACATACCCAGTGGTCGATCCAGACCTTCAGATAAGGGGGAGGGGGCGCTCTCCCAAAAAAATTTTTTGGCCCTCCGGGCCTCATTTTGGTCGAAAAATAAGGGGGAGGGGCCGGCTCTCCCCCCCCGAGCCCCTCCCCTGGATCCGCCACTGATACCCCCTTGAAAGCAAAAGGGAGGGACAAAGATACACTGCGGGAGAGAGCTGTCTAGTTTGTCTAGGGTCGAGGGTAATGTCGAAGCTTGAGGGTTCAAAAACGTCGTTTACAGCATTTACTGTTTATATTTTGTATTACTTACTTATTTTTAAAAATATTTTTTTCCCTCGACCCTCGTCCAGGGTTCAGGAAGCCCCAGGGATTTTTTGGGGTTTTGAGTTACTCCCATTCGATCATCCTCGTCACTCAAATCCAGAGTACCCCCGCCCCACTGGGGGTTCGCCATTATGTAAAATTCTAGGAAAGAATCAAGAGTCGAGCTGTCGCTTGCTAAGAGGAAATCGGCAAAGCTGAATATTTCCCATGAGAATAAGACTGTTTTGAAATAAGTTTAGCCTTTAACGTAAACCCTTTTTCCCACCCACATCATTCTTCATTCAAAAATCATTCCTCTTCTCAGTAATTCCTCTGTTATTTGATGTTGCTTTTTGTGATATTTTTAAAGCTTTCTAGGATATCATAGATTACTAAACATACTTTTTCATAAAGCTTTGTGATACTTAACGCGAGCAATTAAATTGTTCCACTCGATTTCACTCCGAAAGTTCCAAAGGACTGAAGAACAAAGAGTAAAATTAGTTGACAAAGGGCCCGGAAAGCGTGACATGTCGCAGGGGCCGAACTAATTACATGATAAGCCCCATAAAATTCGCCACCATCTCCGTCCGTTGTTTTTCACGCAATTTAGAACCGTTAGCTAATTTCAAGTGATTAAATAAATTTCTGCTTAAACAAAAAGATTCGTGTCAAAAAGCCTTTGACAGCGCACCCCACGGCGTTGTAACATTGTGCTGTATAACCCAGTGTCAATCATAAATTATGCAAAGCTCGATTGATTTACCTTGGAGACGAGTTTATGTCACAGATCTGTGTAAGTTTTTTTGGCAAACATAACTGATGCAGCGGTCTCTGTCTGTATTCGATTTCTTCGAAAATGTTGTAGGAGGAGGAAAACAATTGCGGTTTGTTCTGTGATGATGATTTCCTACGACAAGCGGCGAGGACACACGAAGTCAAAATAATCGGATAAAAATACTCTGGCAGTAAAATGGCGGCAGCGCGCGAAAGAACCGAGGTAATAGTCACTTTGTCGATTATGTAGTTCGTTTATGAACTTATGTTTTAGAGATGCGTTT